TAAAAGTAGGATCAGTTCTTCCCAGCACTTTCAAAATCCTCCTTTTTTCTTTCATCTGCTCTTATAAACATGCAGACACACAGCAAAAGCCCTTCCACACCTCCTTCTACCGCATTGAAATTGCTTGTGAACTGGGTAACTAGTGACTTTCTATTAACCATAGACCACAAGCCCTTCCAAATCGTCACTCTCCTTGATTTCTCTGTGCTACCTGGTAAATTTTAGGCACTGTACGAATGTGTGATGACATCTTATTAAATGATTATTTAGTTCCTGTTGCTAAACTCTTCATGTTTTGGACTTAAAGGGATACATTTTAAATAACGGTATTCTCAGGTCACTGTGATAAACAAGCTCATACTATCTGGGACTTATATTCTAGTAGAGGAAAACAGAAAAAAGAAAGATGAGGTGGGAGAAGAAGAGACAACCACAAAAAAATGAGATGGCAATAAATGCAATGAAAAAAAACAAAGTAATATGAGTAATTATTGTAGGATAACTTATAATAGTCAGGAAAAGTATCTCTGAAGATATAGTAACCTGAATGATTAAAACAAGAACCAAATATAATGAGCTGGCAAAGAACATTAAAGCCTGAGGAAGCAGCAAACAAACAAACTCCACCAACTCCATGCATTAGAGGAAAAGAAAGGAGAACCGTAAGGTAAAATGTAGTCTGGACGTACACTGTATGCTGACCTGTTTTCTCATGTATCCCTCCCTATCATGTAAGATAAACGGTATCATTATACAGATAGAGGAAATTGAAACTTGGAGAAGTTAATTTCCTTATCTAATGTTACATAGTTCACAAGTGGAGGAGCATTTCTACACTAAGACATGAGGCTATTTCAATAGGAAAACCTCAAGAATGTTAATGACTCAATTAGTTTTTGCCACTTAAGAATACCTTCAAGCAATCAACTACAGCCTTCCTGACTTTAAACCTTGTTTCCAATCCTTCTATCTAGATAAATTCCAATGAATATAGTTTAAACATTAGACTTTAAAATGTTAACAAGAACTTATAAAATATTGTTAATGTGAAGAAGTTTTATATAGGTCTGTTTTCATTTCTAAAAGCCTCTAATAATTCTAACATAAGTTCTTCAGAGGTGGGATACTAGTGGTGCATTAATAAGAAAAAATATTTAATTAGTTGATAATTGAATAAATATAAAAATTTGTCAAAAACAACAAAGTGTTAAGGCCACTTTTCTACTCTGTACTATACACAAAGATATCTTTCACATGGTGTGTTTACGTCAGCATATGGTTTTAAATGCATTACAGAGATGAAATGAAGTAAATTACTGAATAAAATCATATGGTCTAATAACATAAATCAGCACTTCCCCAAACTGATATTTCTCAGAACCAGTTCCAAGAGTTTCTTTGTGGCAAAAGAAGAGTTCTGTGGTTATATAAGTTTGGGAAACTCTTAGTTTAATAACCACAGTACACTGTGTTTCTGAACGCCTTCTCAAGGCCTTTAATACAGTAATGTTCACTGTAACTTTCCAAAGGGAAACATGTGTGAAGCCTTACCCTTAGTGGGCCACAGAAGCTTTATGTGCAAGTGTGTATGATACACACAACAATTCCTGTAAGTAAAGTCGCAAAAGAAATGCTGATATTATCCAATAGGCAAATTTGGATATTTTATGTAATCTTTCAGAATAAAAGATTAAAGCAAATAGGATAAGTAAAGATTTTCCTATTTATCAGTAGTGTTAAAAGAAGAATAAAACAATTACATATCATGGCATTAACAACATAAATTAAGTACATAAATCTATGTAAAAAAATGTATGCTTACCTGATCTCTAATCTGAGAAGTAAGGTGTTCAATATCTCCTGTAAAATGTTCAAGCCTTTGTTTGTAAATTTTAGAAGCCTTTTTTAGAGCTATAGTTTTTTGCCTACTTGCTTCTTTCACTGCTGTAGTCTCATCCTTATTTGTCTTGAGTTGCAAGTTCCATTTAGCTATCTTGATTTCTAAGTCCTAAAAAAGTATTAGCAACAATTAAATTATTTCAGAACTCTAATGTTCATATGAACACTATAAAAACACTTATATTATCTTCCACATATATTTTATCAAAACAACTAATCATAAGATTTACAAAACAGGAAAACAGTGAAGAAAGGAGACTGTACCAATGCTTCTTTATAACCAGTTAAGTAATGCAAATTTTAACTGTTTAAGCCTATGGAAAATTAATAACATTATTAAAGAGACTAAACTGTGATTAACTAGGACACTTTTTTAGTTCACATCTAGAACATGACACAAAGTACCAGTTTTAGAAACTAGTTTTAGAAAGCATAATTGAGCTGGAAATGATTTAAATAATAGGTATGCAAAACTCAAAGGAAAGTGGTAGCTTCCCAAATATATTGATATTCTTCAGTTTGTAAGATAAAAGTGTAAAGGAGATATGATGGAAATCTATGAAGGATACAGATGAGATAAACATAGACTTATTTACAAAATTTCAATTTGCTGGAATAAGGAGGCATGCCACTAGAAAGAGCTACATTAAGGACAATAAAATTACTGTTTTACTCAAAAAAGTTGTAAATTTATGAAAGTAATGACTGATTTTAAGACCAGATATGTTTAGATAAATTACTGACTATCAGATCCATAATGTCAGTAAAGGTAAAAAGGTATTGGAAGGCTGGCTTCTATCCACTGAGTGTTAACAGGCTTGATCATCTCTTTGACATCTCTTGGTAAAATGAGACAGAATAATAGCCTAGGTGGAAGAAAGATCTTATTCAGAATAACAACTTTCGTTTTTTTATTTCAAAAGTTTTAAGATATTGTATTTAAAGTTTTTGAGTGTTAAGTATATGAGAATGTAAACACTTAGGATTTTAATGCTTTTACATTTTGAAAGCTAGGTAACATCAAAACCAATGTGGATTTATTAGATAACTTGGATATTAGTCTCTCCCATTTCTCAGACAATTATTCTAATTAAAAAAAATTCAGAGGAGTCACAGTAAAAGATGTGGCTTTTTAACTTAACTTTATGATCAATAAAAACTATGCTTCTTAACTTTCACTTAAACTAGAGATTAAGAAGTACATATTTAGATTTGACCCCTGTGGAGAGAGATTGGGGGAACTAAAACATGCGGCATGCGGCAACATGTTGTTGAATTGTTTTCAAAAACATACCTAAAACAACAACAACAACAACAACAAATCCTGTGAAACATTGTAATAGTTGGGTAAAAACAAGGAAGAGCAGAACAGCAAGGAACATCCACAGAAAATACAATTGCCATTCCTCTAAAAAGCCACAGGGTGTCAGTCACACAACATGAAGAGTTGCTACACAAGGGAAAAAAATGTTTACACATAAAAAGTGAAATTGAAGTGGCTGCAAGCATATTTTCTCACGAGTTTTGCCAAATCTCACACTTAAGCACTATAAAGGAGTATAATAAAACTATTATTTTTACAATTTCAAAATAACAACCCAGTCATTTGCCAAATGGACAAATAGTTAAGGTAGATTAGATTGTCTTTCCCTATTACCAAAAGCTATACACTGATGCCTATTATATAATTATTCTCTATATCTTCTAAAAATATAAAAATATCTCAATGGTAGTTGCCAAATTACAAAGATTTAGATGGAAAAAGTGGATCAAAGTATCTTTGGGAGAGTTCTTGGAGAAATACAACATACACTTAAAGGATCCAATTCAACAAACAGACTCAAAAAGAGTAAAAAACTAGGATTATTCCAACCTAAATTCATTGTATTCTCTTAAAAAGTAAACAGAACAAAATGTTAAGTCTAAAATCAAAGAACTAAATTCTGGTCACTGATTACTTAATGCTTTAAATTCCAAAGAATAAGTATGATAAGGAAGTAGAAAAATCAATATCCTAAGGAAACAATTATAATCATTTCTTAACAGTAGTATTAAGAATGTTACGGCAAAATCTCTGGATTTTAGCCTTATGTTCTTTCTCCAAATTATGGATATAAAAAATGTTTGTTAAGCTTAACTTTAAAAATAATTTAATATTTTATTTTTAAATAAAATATTTTTAAAAAAACTTTCCAACCACTATTTGAGCATATAATTAAAAATTGTGTAACATAAATTGGCACAGATAACTACCTGACATACTAACTCACAATTATTCTCTTGTGTTTACCAAACAGAGCACTGCAATACCAAATCCACCTCATCTGCAGTGTCCTAGGATACCAATGCAAAGGACACAAGGATCTCTAGGGAGAAGGTACTTAAAAAAGCAAGCAAGGGGAAACAAGCAACAAAATTTACATCTTCCATAAACATTCTCAATGTCCTCTTGAAGGGCAAAAGCTTTTTGTCATTAAAGAAAAAACTTTTAAAGGCCAGAGCACAGTTTTGAAATATGTGCTGCACAGTTGCAGACATCTGGTATGAGTCAGGAGTCTAAATGCAATCAGATTTCTAACTAGAAGTACTCCTGTTCAGTGGAGTTTGGGTCTGTATACTTCTGCAGAGATGGGACCACTATTCCTTTGCCTTTGTCAAAAACAATGACAATAGATCGAGTTAGGTTGTGATACATGATGACAACTTGAAATAATTATCTCAAAGTGATTGTGATTCAAAGAGAATAATTAAAACAAAAATTCCCTTTAACTTTATGGTTACAAGGTTACATAACAAGAAAATTACTCAATTACCTGAATATTAAAGCTAGATTAACTAATTTTAAAATTATTATAATTAATAACAAAAAATGTAATGACTGCTTATTAATTATGTGTGAGAATATGTATGTACATCTTGAGAAAGATTTTGAAAGTAATTCAATTTCTACAAATCCTTCCTAGACAGGTATTAAAAAGAAATGGCATTTTCATATTGACATTTGGATCCAAGTCAGAAGGTCTAGGAATCTTATGATCAGGATTTACCTTCAATATGGATTTCCCATGGCAACACTGAAATTGAAATTTTTTATAATCATTATATTTCATAACTAAGGAATAGATTTTATAGTTTTTATTAATTTTATCTCTTAAATTTTAAAAATAGTTAAGTAATTTATAACCTTCATGTATTCTTTTAACTTATCATTCTCTGCTTCCCTTTTATGAATCTGGAGCTGTAGTCGTTCATGTACTAGTTTCACTGCCTGAGATAAACGGTTTGCTTTCAAAGTATTTTCCTATAACAGAGAAAAAAGAACAAACAAAAACATTATTTGCTATAATTCCCAATACCTTTAATTTTACCACAAATGAAGACACTCTAAAAAGCTGATAAAAAGCAAAGTCCTGCTTTACATAAACTACTGCCTCATTATATTTCATGTAAAATCAGGAGTTTTCTTCCCACATTTAATTTGATGTCTCCTAATAATTATCTTTTTAAATATTTCCATCTGTCCTTATAAGTAAAATTATAGGTATATCTAAAATGCTACTATTTATACCAAAATTCCTTAATTTGAATTCCAAAATTCTAAGTCATGAGTCCCTAATTTGTAGTGATTTATGCCAAGTAACCTTACTGAAACACAATAAAACCCTAACAAACAAACAAAAATTTAAAATGGTGTACTTATACATAAATCTTGTAAATTATATTAAATAATCTAATAATCTGGGCTGTCAAAAATCACTTCTTGCATAATTTCTGAGAATATGGAATCAGGATGGGAAGAAATAAAAAAATGTGACAATATTAAGAAAATATGATGAATTAAGATAAGAAGCTCAAAATTTGTTTACCTTCTCATTCTGAAACAAACAAGTAAGTTCTTGGATATAGGCCTCCTTTTCAAGTACCTTCTTCTTAAGATTCTTCAGCAAAAATAACGTAAGAGTTAGAAATTTCACAATTTACTATTGCTAATTTTATAAAGTCAAGTAGCAAACAAGCAAAACAAAAATACAAAATGAAAAAAAAACTTACAATATTTTCACTTTCATTATCAGTCAGATTCTGTAATAACATGCTTGGTAAATTGTCTCCTGTCTGTAAAGAAAGCATTTTATCATAAATGCTCACAAAGTATAATTCTCGACATAAAAAAGTAGAAAGAATAAGCATAATTCAAAAAATTCATATGAGCAAATACTATGCAACTGTGCAGATTTCTAAAAGTTAGCCATGGGAAAGATTGTCTTAAGTTTTCCAAATAATTTTTGTCCATAATTTATTAATTTACTAAAATTAATCCCCAAAGAATATCTCAGGAAGTATAGGTCAATGACATATATAAAAAAAAACCCATACAGAAAAGCAGCTTAACATAATGCTATCTGTAAACAGGAATAAATTACACTTTAAATTCTAGCAATAAGAAATTTCTTAAGAAATGACAATAAATTAGTAATGGAATTGTACGTAGCCATTTAAAATGAGACTAGAGAAAAATACTTAGAGTCCCTAATTTGTAGTGGTTTATACCAAGTAGCCTTACTGAAATACCATAAAACCCTAAAAAACAAATAAAACATATCACTCTTGAGGATAGGGCTCCTGCTTGAGAACGTGAAAAAGCTATGAATTTCTTTCATCCCAAAACACATAAACATGTATATATATAATGCAAAATTGTGCACACAATTTCAGAGGGTTCAGTGTTCATGAAATCTGACC